CCGGCCGGGATTCTCAGGTGCTCTCTGAGTCATTTGTTGCTGGGAATGGCCGCGTGGTAGTTTTCCCTTTGACTGACTTTTTATCTTCATTCGGGTTTTGCTTTTTCAAAGTATCGGTGGGCAGGTGGGGCGGGGGGAGGAAATCCCCTAGAGATCCGGCGCTCCTTTTGGCCGAGCGCTGGGCACTCGGGACGTGCAGACACTGCCTGGGCCCCCGGTGCCCCATGCAGGCGCACACGTGTTCCTCCTGAGGGGTCAGGCCGGAGGCCACGTCAACACAGTGCCCCCGAGGGCGTCTCCATCACCCCATGATGCTGGAGCTCGTGGCGTATCCACCTCACACAGGCTCGTGGCATGTCTGCCTCACACGGGGGTTCATGGCGTGTCCACTTGGGGACCCATGATGTATCCACCTCGCATGGGAGCTTGTGGCATGTCTATATGGGGGCTCATGGCATGCCCACCTCACACGGGGGCTCATAGTGTGTCCACCTCATGGCAGGCTCGTTTTGTGTCCACCTCACATGGGAGTTTGTGGCGTGTCTACCTCACACAGGGGCTCGTGGCGTGTCCACCTCATGGCAGGAGCGTGTGGTGCGGGGCCGCTCTCCCCAAAGCCTGCAGGTCTATCTGCAGAGCTCTGCGGTGACCAAGGGCTGCCTCCAGTGGTCACCCGCACCCCGAGATGAAGTGACGGGGCCCAGGGAGGGGCGAGGCCCCCGCCACAGCCCAGGGAGACCCTCAGTTCTCATCAGCGCGGGCCTCCCCAGTGCCCGTTCACGTGTCTCTCATGAACTCATCTGCCTGCCTCCAGTGAACAGGGCCCCTTGGGGCGGACCATTGTGAGTTTGGGCAGGTGGATTCCCCCCCCCCCAATCCTGTGTCCACCATCGTTCACGCACACATACACACATGCACATATGTTCACACGCATACAGACACACCTGTACACATACTGTCATATATGCATACACACGTCCTCACATTCATACACGTACTGTCATGCACACAGGTACAGACACGTTCACACTCACACAGTCACATACTTGACAGTTGCTCGTACACTCACACACACGTACAGACACAAGCATGCACACATGCACACATACATGGTCTCCTGCTTCCCCTGCCCCAACACAGCCCGGGCAGGCCCCTTGTCCTGGGGTTTCTATGCCCCTGCCTTGCTGTCACACGGTGATGGGGCTGTTCACATGCTCTCTCAGCGACCAGAGATGGGCACTGAGGCCCTGGGGGTTCTGTGAAGGTGCTGGAGACTTCCGGAAGCTTCCACACCGGGGAATCCTGACAGTCTCCCATCATTCCGGGCCCAAGCAAGGTTGCCCAACTCTGGCTGTCAGTGCCCGGGAGTGCGGGGAGCTAGAGGAGCTGTGGGCCCCGCCCCGTCTCCACACCACACTGAGTGGCCCTCTGCTGGGTACTTGACACTCGCCTCCCTCCAGGCCAGCACCAGGCCCAGGTGAGGGGAGCAGAGAGCCAGGTGCCCCCGCACCACTGCCCTGCAAGGAAGGGGGCCCCCTCACCCCGCAGACGCCCTCACTGGGTACCCGAAAAATAGCACCTGTGAGTGGGCACGGCCATGTGAGGGGTCCAGGCCGGCAGGTGGAGACAGGTGCACCCTGCGAGCATGTGGGCAGCTGGGGAAGGCCCAGCTGGGCAGGCCAGAGGGCAGATGGCAGAGGGCCCGCGTGCGGAGCTGCCCTGCCGCCCCTTCCTGCCCCCGGTGGGCACATTCCAGCCCCCTGACAGTGCCGGCATCTGTGCGCAGACCCGCCTCCTTCCTCTTACTCACCTCCTGCCCGCCACCCTCCGCGCCTCGGCTCGCTTCCGGCCCTCACCTCGGGCCACTCCAGAGGATGTTCATCTCGTGGCTCTGGATTTGATTCCGGTTGTTTTCAGATGAAGTCAACGGGGCCGCAGAGATGGGACAGTAGGCGGGCACTGGCCCTGCACATGGCCGGCCGGGGTCCAGCTGGGGTCCGTCCATCCCCGGACGGACAGCTCCCCAGTCGTGCTGTAGGACTGAGAGCTCCAGAGGCAAGTCAGCCTGTGTGGGGCCCCTGCACACCGCCAGGCGTGAACCCCACGCCAGAACCCGCCAGCGAAGTGCCCTGTTTTCCCCCCGAGACGCGCCCTGGCGGAGGGGCCCCAGCTGAGCATGTCCAAGCCCTTGATTTTCATCCCAGTCTGTCCCCTGCGTCCAGCGGGCAGAGTGCGAGCTGCCCCTGCCCCCAGCTCCCTTTTTCCTGGACTCCCAGATTCCAGCCTGTCCCCGGTGTGTGGGACATTTGTCATTCCTTTCCGAAGCTGACATCTAAATGGGCTCCTTCCTTCCGCCCCGTCTGTCCCCTCCCAACACCCGCTCCCGGGCTCCTCACGCCGTTGGAAAAGAACCGCTTCCACGCCCATAGCCGCGTGCCTCGGGCCAGGTGACCCTGCAGCAGACCCCGCGGAGACGTGCCATGACCCTAGCGGGCAGCCGGGGACACTGGGGGAATGGGGGAGGTGGATGGACACCTCATCCAACCATGGACCCGACAGTGGGGAGGTGGACGGCCACCTTGTCTGACCATGGACCCATCAACCATGGGGACTGGGGGAGTGGAGAGGTGGATGGCCACCTCTTCCAACCATGGACCTGGCAGAGTGTAGAGGTGGGTGGTACTGTCCCTACAGGGTTCAAGATGGCCAGTCCATGGCCACACTAGGAGGCAGGAGTTTGCTCGGCTGCAGGCCAACAGGTTGGAAGACGGGGCCCAGGTCGTGTAGGAAGTGGTCAGAGCGAGAGTCGCATGTTTTCCGGAGTGGACAGCTGCCTGCCCCAGGGGCCGGGGGCCAGTGACCTCCCTGGGGGCTGGTGTTCTGGGCCTTTCTAAAGAAAAATTTCTCTGTGGTGGTTTGTGGGTCACACCCGCTAGCAGGTGGGCTCTGGGCTTGCTTATCCCTTGTCAGGGCAGGGGTGTGCTCACCCAGCAGGAGGGCAGTTAGGCTGCTGGCAGGCTGGACACCAGCTCCACCTGGACCCGGCCCCGGGTCAATGCAGGGAAGGATTCTGGGGCCAGCCCAGGGTGTGGGTTGGGGGGGGTCTGCAGGTCGGTGGTCACAAGGCAAACAGACCCACATTGGTGCCGGGGTCCCCCCGCCGTCCTGCACCAGGCCCGAGGCTGACCCAAGCCACTGTCCACAGGGGCCAGCATGACCCCTCAGGGCTCACACTGTCCTGGGTCAGTGGCTCCGGGCCCCTGGGGCTGCAGATGCAGACTGGGCCAGTTGGTTCTCAGCGTTTCGACAGAATGATCTGAGAAGGCCAAACAGCCTTGGGGGCAAGAGGCAAAGCAGTGCCCTTCGGGGCCGCCAGGGGTGCAGAGGGCATACCGGGCGCCCATCAAGGGGGCCTTCCCGTGACCACAGCACACACACATCCAGGAGATGCACCCTGTGAACTCAGAGGCCACTAACGGGGTTCCCTGGCTCTGAGTAGGACAGCTGAGGGCACCTCAGGGACCGGCCCACATCCCTCAGGACCCCAATATAGCTTGGTGGTACCATTGAGCCAACCGCGGTGTAGTCAATGGACCCCTACTCTGCAGGGGACCCCATGGTCTATAGTGTGTGTACAGGGACCCCTTGGTCTATAGTGTGTTTTGTACAGGGACCCCATGGTCTGTAGTGTGTGTACAGGGACCACTTGGTCTATAGTGTGTTTTGTACAGGGACCCCATGGTCTATAGTGTGTGTACAGGGACCCCATGGTCTATAGTTTGTTTTGTACAGGGACCCCATGGTCTATAGTGTGTGTACAGGGACCCCTTGGTCTATAGTGTGTTTTGTACAGGGACCCCATGGTTTATAGTGTGTGTACAGGGACCCCTTGGTCTATAGTGTGTTTTGTACAGGGACCCCATGGTCTATAGTGTGTGTACAGGGACCCCTTGGTCTATAGTTTGTTTTGTACAGGGACCCCATGGTCTATAGTGTGTGTACAGGGACCCCATGGTCTATAGTGTGTGTACAGGGACACAATGGTCTATAGTTTGTTTTGTACAGGGACCCCATGGTTTATAGTGTGTGTACAGGGACCCCCATGGTTTATAGTGTGTGTACAGGGACCCCATGGTCTATAGTGTGTGTACAGGGACCCCTTGGTCTATAGGGCTGTATACAGGGATCCTGCAGGCAGTTGAGGCATGGCTGGCTCAGGCAGAAGCCCCCCACTCTTTGGAGCCCTCGCCAGCCCCCTCACCAACTCTGCCTTCCCAGCGGGCACTCCCCCAGCCAGGACTTGCCCTGAAGTTCTTGTCTGCGTTTCAGTTTAGAGTTCGGACTGACGCAAAGGTCTGAAATGTGGCCACTGCTTAGTTGTTGCTGCCATTGTTGCCCTTGGGTTTGTTACTGTTGCCATTGTTACACCCTCCATTGTTACTTTTCCTATTGTTACTCCCCTCCTTGTTCACCCTCCCCATTGTTGCTGTCCTGTCGCTGCTGTGCCGTGGTTGCTGTCTCCATAACTGCTGTCCTCTCTTACATTGCCCCTGTTACTCTCCCCATGGTTGTTCCCCATTGTTACTCCCAATTGTTGCTCCCTATTCGTTACTTCTCATAGTTGCTCCCCCAGTGTTAGTCTCCCCACTGTTATTTCCTGTTGTTACTCCCCCATTATTACTCTCCTCGTTGTTACTCTCCCCATTGTTATTCCCCCAGTAACTCCCCCCATTGTTACTCCCTATTGTTACTCTCCCCAGCGTTACTCCCCCATTGTTACTCTCCCCCGTGTTCCTGTCAGTGTTTCAGTGTTGCTATCCCCATCAACTCCTGTCTGACAGATTTTCCTGGCACTTTACCCCTTTCTGCTTTAGGAAATGCTTCGTGTTCCCCACTGTCCTGTGTCCTCCTGTTGCAGGTTCACTGCAAGCCTGGGGGGGGAGGGGTGTTCTCTTTTGGGGACTGGCACCACCCACTCACCCTTCTGTCTCTGCCCCCAGCTCTGTCGCCAGGAGCGCCAGCTCACGGCAGGACGGTACCAAGGAAGCCTGTTTGCCGCCCAGCCGCCCATGTTCATCGCCCCGAACTGTGCCCCACCCAGGTGCAAACTGCAGGAGCTGGTGCAGCTGTGTGGGGGGCGGCTGGTGCAGACCCCGCGCCAGGCCGGCATCATCATCGGCTCCTACCGAGGCAGGCGGCCGGGGACAGCCAGACACCTGACCGAGAAGTGGATCCTGGGTAGGTGTTTCACAGCGGCCACACAGACCCCAGCTGTCAGCTTAGGCACACAGTCGCCCCCTGTCTCAGCCCAGCTCCTGTCCAGGCGAGTCCCTGGGACAATGCTCACCCCTCGTTCCATGCTGACCTCCCCGAGGCCCGGTGCTTCTTCCCAGCCGTCCTCCCTCCCAGTCACTTCCTCTCATGAAGCCCCAGGCCCCGGAAGCGTCCAGCTCTGTCTTCGAAATCTGCCTGAAGAAATGGCTTTAGATGTACGTGTGAGACAGCCACAGGGAACCAGATTTTCTGGGAACCGCCCCCCTGCCCCCCGCGCCCCATTCCAGCTGGCCTCAGACTCTGTGGGGCCACTAGGGGGAGAGTGGGGACTGGTTGGGGTTGGTTGTGGGTGTCACAATGCCCGAGGAGGGCGGGGGGGGGGGGGGCTGGGTCGATGGGGCCTCAGCCTTCGCAGAGCTGGCCAGACGGGAATTGGGGAGCCCAAGAAACAGCCCCTTCCTCGAGAGAGCCACGGCCGACCCCAGAGACAGACAGGGAGACGGGGATCCCTCCCAGCCCCTTCCCTCCATTCACGGGGAGACGGAGAGTCCCTCCCGGCCCTTTCTCTCCTCTCCGTGAGCCTTCAAGGCCACACACTCCAAGGCAAGGCTGCTATCCGACCTGGGACAAGACCGCTCCTCCTCTGGGGGTTTCTGTCCTGCCCCGGCCCCGGGCCTGGCAGCCTCCAGGAGGCCCTGGACCCACCGAGGTGTGGCTGGCACAGATCCGCACGGCTGAGCGTGTGAAACTGGAGCCAGCCTCCTGGACGGGCCTGGATCACGTTCCCGCCTCTCCCCAGGGCCCTGTCGGGGCCGTCCGCCAAGATCCTGCAGGAGCAGCCCTGCGCTGAGGCGGACGGAGAAGCTAGTTTCCGGGGAGGGGCCCGAGGGCTCGCACATGGGCTTGGGAGGTGCAGCGTCCTCACCTGGCTCTGCGTGGAGACTCCTGGAGACAGTCTTCTCTCCCCGCCCTCAACCGGGGGCCAGAGAGATGGCCCAGTGGTCAGGGCGCCCCCCCACATGCCGCTGACCCCAGTTCTCTCCCCGCCACACACCCCCTCACCCCCTGTGCCTCGAACACCGCGGTGGGGGGGAGGGAGGTTGCCAGCACTGCTGGACCCGAGCAGCTTCCGTGGGTTCTCCATGAAACCCTGAGCCCAGTTGGCCGAGAAGAGCTGCAAGGGCCTGGGCCTCCAAGCCCCCCTTGGGAGCCCCCAGAGCAGAGAAAGGAAGCCCGGGGTGTGGGGTGAGCTGGATGGGGCACCGGGCATAAGGGCCGGGGAGCCAGGCACAGTCCCCTCTGTCCACTGCAGCCCCCGCCTGGCCAGGCCACACTCCCACCACCCCTCGTTTCCTGGGTCCCCACCCTCCACCATATGAGGCACTTGAGGCCCTGGACTGAGGCCAGTCTCGGCCGCGTTTCCCGGGGCCGGCAGGGCTGGCTTCGGTCCGGCCTCCTTATGCTGCGGTGTGTGGGAAGGAAAACCCCAACAGTGGCCTGTGCAGGTCCCTGGTCACAGCTCCCCAAAGGGCGTGGGGGGTGGGAAGCTGGGGAAGAACCCGGGGGTGACACGTGGCCCAGTCGCTACTCCCCAGGACAGCCACATGCTCACGCACTGCCCCCTGCTCCTGTCCACCAGGAGGAGAGGCTCAAAGCAGACCCTCAGGGGCCACCTGTGGCTCGTCCTCAGGACCAGGAGCCCCCAGGGCCCACGAATGTGGCTGAGGGTTGGGGGGGGGAGTTGCCTCGCCGGGCGCTTAGTGTGCCTGGGGCTGTGGACCCAAACGAAGCAGAGACAAGGGGAGCGGGAAGGGCCGGATCGGGAGGACCCGGGCTCTGCTCTGGGTGCAAGTGTCAGCTGGGCAGCCACTCGGGAAATGGCATGGCCATTCCTGGTGGCCAATCACCCCGTGGCCATTCCTGCAGGCCCCCACCCCCGGCCAGGCTGAGGCAGCCCTTCTGGGCTGAGGGCACTAGCTGATGGGCGCCATCAGGGTCTGGCGAGTCCTGAACTCTGCACAGCCTGCATGGCCAGCTCTGCTGGGTTATGTGCAGTGACGCCCCCCAACACACTGCGGGTTGGCAGGCAAGCAGGGGCGTCACACACACCTCCTGCCTCTGCTGATGCCCCAGGGGCTCAGCACGTGCCCTCTGGGTCTCTCTGAGGCTAGGCCAGCCGCCTGCGCTGCCCTTGCAGGGCCCATGTGGGGCCGCTGGGGCACTCACAGGCTGACACCAGGCCGGGGCTGCCAGCCACCGTCCAGGTCTCTCTGTGGTTCTGAGCCCAAATCTGCTCACCCAGTCCCGGTACCCGGCACCACTTCCTCCTCGACCACAGCTCGGGCCCCAGGCCAGGCCAATGTACAGTGGGAAGATGTGGGCACCATCCCAGACCGTGGGAGGCCATGGGAAGGGCTGCCCCAGGGGGGTGAGTGGACAGAAGATGGGTGGATGGGTGAGCTGATGGACATTAGGTGGACACAGAAGGAAGTGAGGGAAGGACATCGGAAGCAGGGGATAGAGGGGCAGCTGAATGAATGGGTGGATGGACAGGCCAATGAGTTAATAAGTGGAGAGATGGACGGACAGACAACTGGCTGAGTAGGTAGGGGTGAGTGGGTGATAGGTGAATGGACAGTGTGAAGTGCCCAGGGTCACACACACTTCTGAGTTCAGGACAGTGCTCGCTGGCCATTCACAGTGCTCGGTAGGTGCAGAGGGGTGGCCCAGCCCGGGGTGCAGAGCTGCGTCCGTATCCCACTCAGGGGACCCTGAGGCGGCCAGCAGGGCACAGGGGTGCCGGGAGAAAGCCGTGCTCTGGAGCGGGCACTCTCCACACCTGACAGCTCGTCTTCTCTCTAGACTCCATCACTCAGCACAAGGTCTGCAAGGCCGAGTCCTACCTGTGCCCCCCCTGACGGCGGCCCCACAGGCCGAGACCTGCTGGGACCTTTTCTACGAATTGCTGGAACATTCTGGCTCATGACGAACATCGCTTCAAGGCCGCAGAGACTCAGCACTGGGCACCCTCTGGGTTTTTTTTCAAGTGTGGGAATTAAATTGTGCAGGACCCAAGGACTGTGGTGGAACCGCAGCCTTTCTTGGCACGAGACTGAGGCCTTGTGTGGGCTGGTGGAGGCCCCCCCAGCACCTCCTCCCAGATGGGATGGGATGGGATGGGACGGGGGTGGGGGTGGAGAGCCCATTTCTAAGGGGACCGTGCCCAGCCTGCAGTCAGTACCTCATCAGCCCCTCCGAGGACCCCCTCCCGCCCCCTGCACTAGGCTCTCTTCCTCCTCCCACCCCCGCCAAGCCCCCCAGTGCATGTCACGGCTCCCTGGATTCCAGAATCAGCCTTCCAGGGGGCCCTGCCTGACTCCGTGATGACAGGCTGTGTACTCGGCAAGGACAGAGCAAGTCCCAGCAAGCCCCAGGGCTACAACGGTAGACCCCAGCCCAGGGGCCTGTGAGGGCCCAGCCCAGACCTCTCGGAATGCCGCCCCAGGCGGACCAACCCCAGACTTGTGCCAGTCCAGACCCAGGGTCCTCTCAGCCCTGGGTGGCTACCCCCCCCCACAACCCTCGCTTGCCCATCTCCTGATTCTGGTTTCCTCGGTGACCTTGGGAGGGGCTAGTGGCTCCTGCACCGCACCTGCAGAAGGGACAGTGAGCGGGGGAGTGGGGGGGAGACACACTCGGCCTCCAGTTCTGGTGCCCCAGGCAGGAACCGAGGACGAGCCTTAGACCAGGGGCCTTGCTCAGCAAGAGCCACGGCCACTGAATGGAACCAACAAAACGCGTCACGCGGAGCTGGAGTCAGGAATGCACTTCGGGGGACCAAGGAGTGAGGTGGGGGGTAGGAGGGGCCTTTCCTGGCATGCAGCCGACCCAGATCAGTCTCTGGCACTGCCTAGCCCTCCAAGGACCACCCCCCCTTAGCGCCACCAGGAGCGACCCCTGAACTCTGCCGGGTTTGTCCCCAAAGCCAAACAGGGCCGGAATGTGACTCAGGGCTGCGGAGAGGCCCGGCGTCTGCCTCGCCTGTGTGTGCGCTGGCTCCAGCCCTGATGCTGCAGAAACACAGAGACAGATAAGGCAGCCCCCCGGCCGCGCCCGGAGTCAGCTCAGCGGGAATGCGCTCAGCAAGCCAAGTAGAGGCTTGTGTTCTGAGACCCACACAGAGCTGCTGAGGAGAGGAAGAGAGAACAATATGCTCAGAATAAATAGATCAACACTGGAAGTAGGACGGCGATTCCCTGGGCCGGAGAGGCCATGCGGGGGTTAAGGTGTTTGCCCGGCAGGCACTGACCCGTGCTCTATCCCTGGTAGCCCAGACGGTCCCCTGGGAGTCACCAAGCGTGAACCCTGAGCACAGAGGCAGGAGTAAGCCTTGAATACCGCCGGGTGCAGCCCAATGGACAAACAAAATTCAGTGGGGCATGGGGCAGCCCCGGAGGTGGGAGACAGAGTATCCTGTTGCATGCCTGAGGTTCTGGGACCCCAGCATGGCAAGGACGTCAGAGCTGTAAGCAGAGCCGATGCCTTTGCCAGGGCCTGACCCGGGTCTCTCCTCCACGGCCGCCTCGCCTCACAGAGCCCGGCCCACGCATACTCTGGTTCCTTTCATGTCTGCTGGGCCCGATCTGGGCTCCCAGACACAGTTCGGCGTGGCTAGTGTGGCTGTGGAGGAGAAAATCCCAGCAGAGGACACTGACCCTTACCCCATAGCCGGGCGGGCTGTCCTCTCACAAGAGCGCCCCCACCCGGGACTTCCCCTGCCGTACATTCAAGCTTGAAACACTCCTTTGCCAACTTTCTGAAAGCGACTGCCTCCCGCCCCCCCTGGTGCTCCGGGGCCTCAAGCCTGCCAACCGCAGAGCTGCGAGCACCTGGGCCAATTCCGTCTAATCAGGGTGCCCCGAGGGGCTGCCTCTCCAGAGAGCTAACTGCGGACGAGTTTGGCACGAAGTGGGTATTTCAGCCCTGGCATGATCGCGTGCCTGATTGAGCTGGTGGGGAAAGCCACTGAGTGAGCTTTGCAGCCTTTAAAGGGCATTTGCAAAGGAGCGTGGGGGTGGGGGCTCGCAGTGAAGCCCCTGGCAAGATGGGCCCCCTACGGGTGAGCGGGGCCCTGCCAGTCCCAATCTTTGGAAGGTTTCAGAGCCGGAGAGACTGGGACCCAGGCTCTCCCCGGGGGCCGTGGGCGGAGTCTGTGGACCAGAGAGAAGCCATGGGGCACATTCTTGATTCCCGCCTGGGAGAACCAGAGAGCGTGGACGGGGCTTCCCCCGGGGCTGACCCCTAGAGCGTGTCCCTGCCACCCACCTGTGTCAGAGCCCCTCATGGTTCCTGTCCGGGTCAGAAATCAAAGGTGTGGGCCCACGGCCCCGCGCTGGGTGTAGCACTGTGTTCTTGCTCTGCTTGGGCAGAAATGCACAGGGCACACCTGTCCTGTCCTCACCAGCCCCTCGGAACGCCAGTGAGGCGCCTCAAGCCTGCGTCTCTCACGGGGAGAGAGCAGTGACACCCCCACCCCCAACCCCTACCCCCAATGTAGGAGCCAACTCGCTGCCGGCCTCAGAAAGGCGAAGTCAGCAGCAGAAACTAAGTAACTCGGGAGGGGGTGAGGTGAGGTGCCTGCGGGGTGCAGCCCAGCCCAGAATCCCCCAGCAAAGCTCATGCTCAAAATTGAGGAAGATGGGGTTTTGCAGACAAAACTAAGGGACTCTCTCATCACCACACCAGCCATAGGAGAAATGTCCCAGGGGAACAAGTCCGCGGGATGGAGTGGGTCTGGCAGGCCGGAGTCCTGGCCCTCTCCCTGACCCATGTGGGCCGAGCACCGCCAGGTGTGGCCCCCAAACCAAACGGAAACCAACAAAAATGCTTAGGGAACTTTGACATGAGAAGAAAAGGGGCTGGATTCCATCAAGGGGGTGTCCCAGGCCCAGAGCTGATGCCGTTCCCAGGGCCTCTGTTGACCAGCGATCAAGCAGTGAGAGGAGAAACATGAAGATACCGATCTTCTTGGAAAATCAAAGTGTGGAGTAAAGCTAATAGACTGATCGTTCATAAAAAGAATGTAGAAGTTCAAAGGCCAGAATAATTAAAAATCACCTATGATTATAATCATTTGGGTACACAAGGAAGTGTAAAATGTGACCGCAAAATATTGGGAGTGGGGAAACGTACACCTGTAGAGGCACTGAAGCTTATGTTATCAAGCACATGTATATGTTATCAAGTGTATGTTATAAACCCATGAAAAGGTGGTTCTGTGTAGGCCTCCTGGGGACAAGGCAAAGACCGATGGCAGATATGCAGATTGTAGTGGGGAAGGAATAAAAATATCACAGAGAATCTCAGCAAGCCACAGAGAGACAGCAGACAAAAGTTGCACCACATGACACTGGGTACGTGTCTGCTCACGATTGCTTTGAATGCAAATGGACCTAACTCCTCATCTACAGAGGGGCTGGGAGGGGTCTGCTCCCCCAGAGACACTCACTGCAGACAGGAAATGCACAAACAGGTTGAAGAGTTAGAGAAAAGAGATTTCAATCCCAAGCCAGCAAAAGACAAAGAAGGTATAGAAGCAGTCTGCAAGGTGATTCGTACTTTTTATCTAATTGTGAACCCTGCATGCAAACACCTAGGTAACATAAACACCAATAGAAATGGAGGGAGAAATATACAGCAGTGACACAATAAAAAAACAGAGACTATCATATTCTGTCACAGTAATAGGTCGATCGCATAGACCAAAAAAAGAAAAAAATCAGTAAGGAACTATCTGCCTGTGACAGTTCTTGGAATGGGCCAGACACAACATTTATACAGAACAAGTTACCGCATAAGAGCAACGTACCCCACCCCACCCCATCCCCATCCCTGGATGCTCCCAGACCAGGCCACAGGTGTATCAGCACACTTTAGAGCACCTGTCCCAACCACAAGTATGAGACTGGACATGAGTTCCCCAAATGGGACCTTGATAACGGTGGAGAGATTAAACAGACATGCCATTGAACGACCAAGGGACCAATGAAGAAATCAGAAGAGAAGCAAGGAAGGTCTGGAGACAACATGGAATCGCAGCCTCCGCAGGCAGGAAGAGACCGTTCATCCGAACCGGGGAGGGGGGGTGGGGTTGAGCACGGGGAATGCACCAGCACGAGGGCCAAGGAAGGTCTCCCAGCATCCCGCCACACCTCAGTGACCCAGCAGGAAAGGGCAAAGGCAGGAGGTAATAGAAGGAAGGAAATCGCAAACATCAGAGCCGAAATAAATCAAATCAAGACTGAACAACAATGCCCTGAAAGATAAACAGCATCAAACCAAACAAATTGTGTTCCGCTTTCTCTTAGAAGTGCTAGGGATCGAACCCAAGGCTTCTCACAGGCCAGGCGACAGCCGTACATCGTGACCTCCCAGGCCTTCCGGTCGACAAATTCTTAACTCACCTGGCCGTGACAGACAGACAGGCTCTACTCAAAGGGCACAGACCCAGTGGAGACTTGTAGTGCTGAGAGCAGTTACCCACGGCTGTCTGGGGCTTTGGAAGCAACTGAGACTGAAAGTTAAACTCCCAAGTATAGAAGCTTACAAGACTGAATGAAGAATAAGGCATCTTTTTGTTCTGTTTTATTTGGGAGTCTCACCGGCCTTGCTCTGGACTCACTCCAGCTCTGCCCTCAGGGATCACTCCTGATGCCCTCAAGGGACCTCATGGGGTGCCAGGATCAAATTCGGGTCACACCCATACAAGGCAAGTGCCCTTGCTGCTGTGTTACGGCAACACCTCTCTCCCCCAACAGTCCATCTGAGCACCCTGATCACTAGTCACGGGTGCAGCCCTGCCTCACAGAGCTCAGTAGGCCAAGCACATGCTTTGCATGCAGAAGGCCCGGAGTCAACACGGCACTGTGTGTACCCCCCCCAAGCTTCCCCACCTCAGCACCCAGGACCA